TCTGACTAATTTGGCTTACCATAATACTCTCTAGTTCCATCCACGTAGTTGCAATTGCCAATATTTCATTCTTTTTGATTGCTGAGTAATATTCCACTGTATATCACTTCTATATATATCACTTCTATATCCATCCATCCATTGATGGACATTTGGGCTCTTTCCATACTTTGGTTATTGTTGATAGTGCTGCTATAAATGTTGGGGTACACTTGTCCCTTCGAAACAGCATACCTGTATCACTTGGATAAATACCTAGTAGTGCAATTGCTGGGGGATAGGGTAGTCCTAGTTTTAATTTTCTGAGGAAGGTCCACACTGTTTTTCAGAGAGGCTGCACCAGTTTACATTCCCACCAGCAGTGCAAAAGAGATCCTCTTTCGCTGCATCCTCGCCATCATCTTTTGTTGCCTGAGTTGTTCATGTTAGCCATTCTGACAGGTGTGAGGTGGTATTTCACTGTGGTTTTGATTTTTGTGTATGGTGTAAGAAAGTTGTTCAGTTTCATTCTTTTGGATGTTGCTGTGGAGTTTCCCCAACATCGTTTGTTGAACGGATTATCTTTTTCCCATTGACTATTCGTTACAGCTTTGTTGAAGATTAATTGTAATCTCTATAACAAAGAGATATTATATATATTAATATATATATATTAATACATATATATAAAAGACTCTATAATTGTGGGCTTATTCCTGGGTTTTCCATTCAGTTCCAGGGATCAATGTGTCTGTTTCTGTGTCAGTACCAAGTGGTTTTGATCACTACAGCTTTGTAACATTAATTTGAAGTCCAGAATTATGATACGTCGAGGTTTGCTTTTCTTTTTCAAGATTGATTTGGCTACCTAGGGTCTTTTGTGGTTCCATACACATTTTAGGGTTGTTTGTTCTAGGTCTGTAAAAAATGCTGTGGGTATTTTGGTAGGGATTGTCTTGATTGTGCTGCTTGCTTTGGGTTGTGTAGTCATTTTAACAACAGTTATTCTTCTAGTCCATGAACATGGGATGTCTTCCCATTTCTTTGTGTCGTCTTCAACTTCTTTCATCAGTGTCCTTTAGTTTTCAGATACAGGTTTTTCACCTCTTTGGTTAGGCTTATTTCTAGGTTTTAAAAATTATTACTAGGGCAATTGTAGATGGGACTGTTTTCTTAATGTCTCTTTCTGCCACTGTATTATTGTTGTATGGAAAGGCAACAGATTTCTGTGCATCGATTTTGTAACCTATAGTTCTTCTAAATTCACTTCAGTTCTAGCACGTTTTGGTGGAGCCTCTTGGGTTTTCCACATAGAATATCACGTCATCGGAAAATAATGAATGGTTTACTTCACTTCTTCCTTACTGATTTGGATGCCTTTTATTTCCTTTTGTTGTCGAGATGCTGTGGCTAGGACTTCCAGTACTTTGTTGAACAAAAGTGGAAGAGTAGACCTCTTTGTCTTGTCCTTGACCTTGGGTAAAAGCTTCCAGGTTTTCCCCATTAAGGATGATGTTAGCTGTGTGCTTTTCATGTATGACCTTTATTATGTTGAGGTATGTCCCCTCTAAACTCACTTTGTTGAGAGCTTTTATCATGAATGGATGTTATACTTTGTCAAATGCTTTTTTGGCATCTGTTAAAATGGTCGTATGGTTCTTATCCTGTCCTTTATTGCTGTGATTTGACAGATGTGATGTATCTCACACTGATTGATTTGTGAATATTGAGTCATCCATGCACCTCAGGAAGAAATCACTGGGTATAAGACCCGAACAGACATGACTTGATTGTAGGGAATAATTTTTTTTAATTTGTTGTTGGATTCAGATTGCCAGTACTTTTTATGGATGTTTGCATCTATATTTATCAGAAATGTTGACTTATAGTTCTCTTATTTTGTGGTGGCTGTTTCTGGTTTGGTATCAGGGTAGTGCCGCTTCATAGAATGAATTGGGGAGTTTTTACTTCTTTTGCTTTTTTTTTTTGAATAGTTAGAGAATGGGTATTACCTCTTCTTTAAATGTTTGCAGAATTCACCTGTGAAGTCATCTGTTAGACTTCTGCTTGTTGGCAGGTGTTTGATGACTGACTATTTCTTTTCTGGTAATCGGTTGCAATTTTCTATTTGCTCCTGTCAGTTTTGGTAGGTTTATGTTTTGAAGAATTTATCCATTTCTTCTGTATTGTCCAGCTTGCTGGGATATAGTTTTTCACAATATTCTCTTGTAGCTTTTTCTATTTCTGTGGTGTTGGTTGTTATTTTTCCTCTCTTAGGTGTGATTTTATTTATTTTGGCCCTTTCTCTTTTCTACTAAATAAGTCCAGGTAGCAGTTTGTCCTTTTATTAATTGTTTCAAAAACCAGCTCCTGGTTTCTTTGACCTGCTCTATTGTTTTTCTAGATTTTATATCATTTATTTCTGCTCTTACCTTTATTATTTCCTTCCTTCTGCTTTTTGGGGTTTTGTTTGTTGTTGTTTTCTAGCTTCTTTATGACCCAGGTGAGGTTGTTTATTTGCTTTTTTCTTGCTTCTTAAGGTAGACCTATGTTACAACTTCCCTCTTAGAACAGCTTTGCTACATCCCACAGGTTTTGAACAGTTGTCTTTTCATTTTCACTCATGTCCACGTTTACTTGCTTTTTCACTTATTTCCTGGTGGGCTCATTCATTGTTTATTAGCATGTAATATCACTTCCGTGCAGGTGTGCTCTTTTCTTGTGGTTGTGATTTTTTCTTGTGGTTGACTTGTAGTTTCATCGCATTGTGTTCTGAAAAGATTCATGGTGTGACTTCGATCTTTTTGAATTTGTTGAGGCATGTAATATTTATACACCCAACTGGTGAGCCCCACAACATGAAAGTTATGTCTTCTTGTTGGATCGCCCCCTTTGTTATTATATAGTGTCCTTCTTTGTCTGTTATTACATTCTTTGCTTTCAAGTCTACTTTGTCCAATACAAGTATTACTACTCCAGCTTCCTTTGACATCCATTTGCACAATAAACATTCTACCTCTCCTCAGTGTCAATCTGCAGTTGTCTTTTGGTCAAGAGTGATTCTTTGGTAGGCAGCATAGAAATGGATCTTGTTTTATTCATTCTGTCATCCTGTGTCTTTTGATTAGAGCAATTACACCACTCACACATTCAAATTAATTTTTGATAGATATGCATTTATTAACATTGTAGTACCTGCTTTGCGGTTGTTTCTGAAGAGTTTCTCTGATCATTTCTTGTCTTTCCCACTTTCACGGTTTGATTTTTTTTTTTTTGTGATATGTAGTATTTCTTTCTGTTTATTCTTTACATATTTATTATGAGGTGTTTTTAAAAAAATCTTTGGTCCCCATTAGGTTTGTATATAACATGTTTTGTATTTAGCAGTCTACATTAAGTTGGTGGTCATCAATTTGAACCCAAACAGTACTCCTTTCATCTCCAGGTAGATGGTGTCATAATTGATATGTTACATCCTTTTATCGTGTGAGGTCCTTGATAATTGATATGTTACATCCTTTTATCGTGTGAGGTCCTTGACTGAAATTTGTCTACAAAAACATTCATCTTGAGGGTTTTTGTGTTTCCTACCTTCCTACTGTCACTTTTGGTCTCTCCCCTGCACTGAAACATTCCCCTTTAATATTTCTTGCAGGTCTGATTTAGTGGTCATGAACTCTGTTGGTTTTTGTCTGTCTGGGAAACTTTCCTATTCTGACTAGTACCCTAGCTGGATACAGTATTCTTGGCTGGATAGAGAATGTTTCCCATTCAGCACTTGCATATATCATGCCACTTCCTTCTGGCTTGGAAAGTTTGTGCTGAAAAATGCTCTCATAGCCTTATGGGTGTTCCTTTGTATGTGACTGCTTTTTGTTTTTTGCCTTTCTGCTATTTAAATTTTTTCTATATCCCTGTTTATCCAATTTAATGACAATATGTCTTGGTGGGCGTTTGCTTTTGTTGATTTTATTTTGGGCTTTCTGCCTCCTGTATCTGGATATCTGCTTCCATCCCCTAGATTAGGGAAGTTTTCTGCTGGGAAAAGTGGGAGGGTGGATCCGCTGGAGCATGAGGAGGCAGGGTTTGGCACAAGCAAGTTAGATGGCAAGTGTGGGTCCTGTACCGATTCCCACAGTTGACCCTGTGTTTAAGGTGATGGCGGGGGAGGAAAATGGCACCTGCCAGTTCCTTTGTTCACAGAGGGGTCTCTGTGAATGCTGTCTTTCTGCAACATGCTCCAGGGTAAGCAGATAATCTCCTGACTGTGTGCTCCAAGTGGTCTTCAGGTTGCTGTTTCCATTCTGTATGTCCATGGGCTCTTTGTCTTTCTTTTCTCCAGGAGCAGTCCCGATGCCATTTGGACTCTCTCAGAACTTAATACACTCACCTTTAAAACCCTAGGCTTTAAGCCCCACTGGTTGCAAGTACTCGTGAAATCTGGCCCCTTTCCCTCTCCAAGCCAATTGGCATAGGAATTCGTTGTTCCTGTTTGCTCACCTTGTGCCAGTCTGTCTCTCACCCTTCTCTGGGACCACTATTCCTTTCCTAGCTCAGTGGTCACGATCTGTGTCTTCTCAGTTTGGGAGAGAAAACTGAATCTCTGTACATCTTACTTTTCGATGTGGCCTGTTTATCTTTAGTTGCAGAATCTGTTCTGCCAGACTTCAGGTGGATCTCTGGGGTATTTAGGATGATTTGATAATTATCCTCATGGGATGACGCAAGCCTAGGATCCTCTTAAACAGTCACATCTTTTTCTGTCCTTTGCTAGTGTCACCCTATATTACTGGTTTCTTCTTTGTAGTTTCATTACTGTTTCTTGACTAATGCCTATCAGTAGACATTTATTTTGCCATATTTGTATCAAGAAATTTGTATATCCACTCATACATACTTGGGAAAAACAAAGCTAAGTAGTTGCATTGGGGATATAAGAAAGTATATAAATATTTTGTTACAGTCTCTATGGATGAGCATAAGAAAACTATGAATATTGGGGTCTCAGATCATTTACTTACCAGAAGGATAGCATTGAGGAGGAGGGACCCAGCCATTTTCTGTACAGTTCATTACAGTCTGCCCATTTTGAAGACTGTAGCCATAATTGCAGTTAACTCTTAAAGATTCACCTTGTAAATATATTTTTGTTGGATATGGCCGCTCTCCATATATCAAATTATTGAAAATACATTTTCCTGAAAATCATAAAAATAATAAACATAATTTGTTATGCCTATTGATTCAGTGAAAATATGTAATTAAAAACTATTCATACAAAATTTAAATTTTCATGGATAAGTATCCAAAATTAACATATAACTAAGAAAGTTAAAGCTACTACCCAATGTTTAAAAAGAAGAAAATAAAATTTAAAGTTTTCTATCATCAGTTTTTTATACATGAAATATTGGTAAATAACATATGTGTTTTCATAAGACTCCATCTGTATTTCTAAGGTGATATTTATGAAGAGCTCCTGAGGATGGAAAGATTTATATTGGTAGTTTTCCTCATAAAATTTATTCCTTGGCCTTCTTTTTGTCATTTTAGGCTTAACTGTACTCACCTATGTGTTTTGCCACACCACTACTTCAAATATTTATGCATTGCAAAAAAGAAATTTGTACATAAATAGTTATAAAAAGATTGACTTACTGCGGCATGGTACTGCTGGTGACCATCCTTCTTGTGTGCAATGAATATATCCCCTATTCTGTTTTGTATCTGTCACAAAATCTTGATGACAGGAAAAGGAATATTTTTTTCCTACAGGTACTGGAAAATCTCTTCTATAGCTATATTCATTGTGTAGTATTCCATGTTTTATTTCTGGATATTCACAACGTTTCTCTTGCAATTCGGAAAAAAAAAGAAAAGAAACAAGAACAGTATAAAAATACTTTATCTTAAGAATAAATCATATTGGAAATGAATTGTTTCATTGGTACATTTTATCCTCTTAGCATAATTTCACTCACTGCATCAGGTTTTCTAGGAAAAGAAGTGTTATAAATATGGATCATTGGAATATGTGATGAAGTCATTGCTAGTGAAGTAAAATTTCACCTTATGGGTCATATGATATATAAAATTGTATGAAGACTCGAGAAATAAAATTCTACACAAATATTTTAAGGAATTCTGCTTGAATATGTATATACTATGCATGGTTGATTTAATGAGGAACTTGGTTGAGGGATGGAAGTATTGATTTTATTTCTCAGATTATCTAGCTTTTTTTTTTTCTTCTCTATTCTTATCAGAAATCAGAGTCCTATCATATCTTCTCAGACCAACTCAATGTAGGGAAATAGTCAGAATTTTCTAAGATTAACATTCATTAATTTATATTTCTATTTATTGTAAATAATTTAACAAATATAGAAAAACAAAAGTTTCCATTCATTACATTATACAGAAAAATTACATTCTTACTAATCCCTGAAACCAATCATTGAGCAAAGACTCTTCTGTATTTAATCAGAGAAATGAACTAGGACTATTTTTCAATATTCAAATACTTAAGATTATGGAAAACTTTGAATGTTATTTTTTTAAGTTATGTTTTAGAAAGAGAGAGGGGGCACAAGTAAGCGAGGAGGGGAGAGAGAAAGAGAGAAAGTGAGAGAGAGAGAAGCAGGGCACACCTAGGGCTCATGATTTTACCTGAAGCAGGGCACTAGCTCACCCAAAGTGGGCATGAGCTCACCTGATGTGCAACCCGAACTCACCAACTTTGAGATCATGACCTGAGCCAAAGTCAGATTCTTAACGACTGAGTCCCCAGGCGCCCGATTGCTAATTCTAATTTTAATTGGAGAAGGAGATGTTTTAAAATATGTTATACACCTGTCATTATATGTATGACATATAACATATATATGAAGTGTCTTAAATATACCTCAGAATATATAAGATATTTGTCATATATATGAGGTGTTTTAAAATATCATATATAGGAGGCATCTGGGTGGCTCAGTCGGTTAAGCGTCCGACTTTCACTTGGGTCATGATCTCTCGGTTTGTGGGTTCGAGCCCCGTATAGGGCTCTGTGCTGACTGCCAGCTCAGAGCCTGGAGCCTGTTTCAGTCTGTGACTCCCTCTCTCTCTGGCCCTCCCCTGCTCACGCTGTCTCTCTCTCTCTCTCCTAGAAATAAATAAAACATTAAAAAAAATAAATAAAATAAAATATCATATATAGTACATCATACTGTAATGATATATGTGACAACATATATGACATATATATGATATATAATGTGACCTATATGTCATGATATGTATATAGAGGTGTTTGAAAAATATGTCATATATTTCCTATTATATATATTTTTGAATAAAAGTGAACATTTAATGCAACCATAGTTGAATTCCTTTTAAACACCAAAATGTTATACTTTAATTGAGGTATAATATAATTGCATTTTACTGAGGTATTCTTATATATGGAATATTTTTGACATATGTTTATGTGTTATGTTCTTTATAACACATTTACATGTAATATTTTCCAGAAGAGAGTTCCTTTTTCATTTGATGACATAGAGATAATCTAGTACATTAATATTAGACCAGTATTAGTTTTTTTCCTCATAAAATGATTCTATTACAAACCTTGTACAACACATGAACAGAAGTTCCAACACACACACACACACACACACACACATGCATGCATACCAAGTATTCATTATCATCTTCATCTTTTTAAAGTACACTAATCCATTTTCTTTTTTCTGATTGCAGAAAGTTTCCAGTAGTTTAAATTGACTTGTTATGTGGATCATACCCTTCGAATCCTTTCATATACCTATGTTTTACTTTAATAAAAATTTGTATATGATACATTCTCTAGATATAGATTCTTGGGTTACAGCCCATATCTCTCATTGGTAGATTTTCCCTTCACATTTTTGAAATTTCCAATGTTGAGACTCAAAAGCTCATTTACTTTTATTCCTTTTAAGTAATCTTCTAGGTTCCCCCCACTCCCACAACTTTTTGACGATTTAGATTGTTTTTTTTTTTTATTCTCATATGAATTTCATCTTGAAGGTAATTGAAGGAGGTGTGGGAGAACTGTGGACTAAGAAAAGAAGAGACATCTTGATGTGTCATTTCACAACCATTCTATGTTGGGAAAGCTTCAATCTTTGGATTTGTAAGAATTGAGACTTAAAGTACTCAATTAAATAGCTGTAAAATTGTGAAGGAGAGATTTGAACCCTGGGGATCTGATTTCAAAACAGCACTGATTATCTACCTATTATGGTGTTTCAAAGGATACGAACTAAGAGTTAAGATGGTGAGGTAAGAGTTCCGGATTTCTTTTATCCCAGAAACACAGTTGTATGGTGGTCAGAACACTTGGAAATCTATCTGCAGAGTGACAGGAGAGTCTACACAGGTAGAGAGAGAAGCTTGGTGGGCAGAGGTGCATGTATGTGAACTGGGATAGTTAAAACAGCATGAGTACTGGAGGGAGGGATCCATAGTGAGAAAAAAGGGAGAGAAAAGAGAAGCTGTGGATTGCGGTATTGTGTTAGGAGAAGAGAAAAATATCTCCAGATCATGGACTAGGGAATAAGAAACATGAGAGTGCCAGTCTCTACTTTGCAAAAAGCCTAAGGAGCTGAAGATCAAAGTTGTCAAAAGTGTGTGCCATCCTTGGACCCAAGCCAATGCCAGTGTGTGTGCCTGGGGGGAGGCGAGCAGTGGCAATCTCAGGGGCACACTAGGAGAAAACAGTCCCCTCCCTTGAGTACTGTTGGATGAGGGTATATTGCATCCTCAAAGACAAAAGACCTTGCAGGCGCCAGGCATATTGGCAGGGCAGAATGGCACGACCCCAGAACCAGGTGCCCCTGGTGCATGATCCATTACGATATCGGGTTTTGAATCCCAGGTGAGCACTTGGGAGGTGTGGGAGAACTTTGTACTAAGAAAAGCCACCTGCCTGCACCAATGTGTGAAGCCTGCTTGAATAGCGTGGTTGATACTGGGGCGTCACTATTTTTCTCCCAATCACCAACATGGTGGGGCTTTAGGGAAAAAGACAGCAGACCCCAGCAGAGGCATGATCTGCTTATATGAAGCCGCGACCCTCAGTGCCTGGAGACTACTTATCTACTAGAGCAGAACTGACACTGGGTGAACCAGATGACTGCTTCTCTAGACCAGCACAGTCACAGGTCTCAGATAACAACAGACAACTGTCTTGCAATTTTGTATGTTAGTTTGTTGCCCTTTTTCTTTTCTTTTCTTTTCTTTTCTTTTCTTTTCTTTTCTTTTCTTTTCTTTTCTTTTCTTTTCCTTTCCTTTCCTTTCCTTTCCCTTCCTTTCCTTTCCTTTCCTCATTTCTTTTAGTTTCTCTCATCTCTTCTCTTTTCTCATCCTTTCTTTCAACTGTCTTCTTTTTTATCCCTTGGAGTCAGGTTCTTAGTTTCTGATTTGATTTTTGGTTAATTCTTATACATACACACAGACACACACACATATATAGTCTTCATTTATTTTTCTGCTTTGTTTGTCTGTTTAGTCAAGCATTTTTACTTTACTCCGGTTTCTTTGTTTTCTTTTCTCTCTCTGGATTAAGCATTACAGCTTGTCTGATTCTCTGCTTGGTCTTTTTTTCACACCTTTCATTTTTTTTCTTTGTGTGAGGTCCCTGCCCTTCCCATCTTTCCAGGGATACCTCAATGAAAAATTAAAGCACGTTTGGTGGAAGGTCTAAACTATCCACCACTGTGAGTAAGGAGGAGCTTTGTAGAAGACTGTTTGGTGAATTACAGCAAAGAAATACACAACAAAGGAGTGCATGCAACAAACTCCAAGTACAATTCCTGATGTGCCAGACCCTGGACAGTGAACAGCCCTCTTAAATATAGTAGTCCTCACAGGTACAGGACATGTAACAAATTATTAAATCACATAAAGAAAGAAAACAGGCCAATGATGAAATCAAAGAATTCTCCTGACAAAAATTCCAGGAAGAAGTGAGAGCCAAAGGATTGCTCAAAACATATATAAACAAAGTGTCTGAATATGAATTTAGAATAAAAATCATAAGACTAATACATACAGGCAATGTAAGAAGCAAAGAAGGAGGCAGATAATCTATTGCTGCAGAGATCAAAAACCCAAGAAAGAGTCACGATGAATTAAGAAATGCTGTAAATGAGATGCAAAATAAACTAGATGCAGTGACAGTAACGATGGAAGAAGTAGAGAAGAGAATAGGTGAAACAGAAGTTACAATTATGGGAAATGATGAAGCTGAAAAAAAAGAAGGAAGGGAAATGAATAGACCATGAGGGGGAAATCAGAGACCTAAATGATTCAATGAAATGAAATAATATACATATCATAAGAGTTCCGGAGGCAGAAGAGAGAAAAAAAAGGGAATAAAGTTTATTTGAACAAATTATAGCTTAGAACTTCCCTAATCTGGGGGAGGAAACAGGCATTCAAGTCCAAGAGGCACAGAGAACTCCCTTCGAAATCATGGTCAACACCATTATATATCATAGTGAATCTGTCAAAATGCAAAGATAAAGATAGAAATCTGAAGGCAGCTGGGGACACATGGGTCTAAACCTAAAAGGGTAAACAAGTAAGGACCTATCCACTGAAACTTGGCAGGCCAGAAGGGAGGGCAGGAAACATTAAATGTGCTGACTAGGAAAAATATGCAGCCAAGAATCATTTATCTGGCAATGCTGTCATTCAGAATAGAAGGAGAGATAAAGGTTTTCCCAGAGGAAAAAAAATGAAGGAGTTCATGACCACCAAGCCAACCCTGCAGGAGAACCTAACAGAGACTATGAGTGGAAAGCAGCAAAGACTAAAAA